TACTTTCAGAAATAAAACCACAGAACAACACAATCTAATTCAACCTTAAAGGCTGGCATGCTGGGCAAGGAATGTTCTTATTCTTTGTAGGAGTTCCTTCTTTACACTGTCAGGTACCAGGGCTCTGCCTTTTGGAGTGATTTCAGTCACCAAGTCATCAACAGTAACGTGTTCTAGTCCTTTTTCTTTAATCACCTCTTATGCAAAAGCAAAAAACAAATCATACCATCTAAAATCATTATCTTTACAGTGAGCCTTCAATTGATCCTTCCAGCCACATTCAGTTAATTTAGCTCACAGCAACTCTGAGGCGTTCTCTTTCTCCAGTTTCTATTAACTTTTGGTTAATCGGTGCTCTTACCTGCGCATCTTTGTTCATCCTGCTAACCACCATCACCACGGGCGAGGGCCATCCCTTCCCAGCGATAAAATGACCCTTGCGCTGGTGACCGTTACCTACCATTAAATGTCCCTCTTTGAGAAGTCGTACTAATTTATACTACTGCTAGTAATATGATAGTGCACCTGTACTCATATGCCAGACAACACGATTTTCAGGTGGTTTTTGTTCTTGTTTTTTACTTTTTTGTAGCTTAACTTGAATAATTTTAATTCACTTTGCAAGAGCAGATTTCTACTAATTTAACTATAAAGTGGTCTGTTCATTATTACAGTCAGTTTTCATGTGCCATAAAGTATCTTCAGCTTTGACATGTAAATAGATGGTGATACTGTTCATTGTCATAGAAAAAAACTGATTATTTATCTAGAAAATGTGAGGGTTTTTGTGAAGCTGCAAACTGGACTTAATAACACAGTTTTCCCTTTCATTTTAAGTGTCATACTTGATTACTGGCTATTATTAATTGAAGTTAATTAAATCAGCCAACTTTGTTAGGCCATTATAGAAAAACTGCCTTGTTTTTAAAATTGGCACTACTCTTACAGAGGTTTCTAAAAGAATACTTTTGAATTAGAGAAAAAAGAGGACCGCAAGGAAAGCCAACATTTTGACCCTAGCCTTCCAAGGTCAGTTAAGACTCAGGACATATGCGAACTTGTACTGTAATGTCATGTAACTCAGTGGTGTCCCAAATTTTCTGATCAAGGAGATTATGGGGCCAAAGAGGAAACTGTTCGATGATGTAGAGTGTGCCTAAGGAGAGTCACATGGAGAGAAAACATTCTCTCTGGCTTTCACAGAGAGCACATTGGCCAAGCAATGGCTGTGACTCATCTACATGGCTGACACTGACAAAAGATCTACAATCTGAGGTACAGGAACGCATAATAAATCTTGAGGAGATTTGACTGGCCTTATCAGATCCAAAAGCTACAACTCTTGTTGCATAGATCTTGCTTTATCTTGGTCTTAACCATCCAGCAGAAAAGTATAAAAACGAAGTATAAGAAGTAAAGCCATGTTGTTATGTTGAGCTGTAGGGGACTCAGATCAACAATTTCTGACATTGCTAGGCAAGCGGAAGACCCAATACTCTTATGGACTATTGGACTCTTGTAGAATTTTTTGCTGAGTTAACACACCTATAATATTCAAATAACGGAACTTAACAAAAAGGGATACAGACGAATGTCCATTTTGTATCTGTGTATTCAAAATGATTAGGATAGATATATAGCTACATTCTCTTAATGAATAGAAGGATTTGTAATAGAATATCAAGTCCACATCTTGTACAGCAATTAACCACTAGGAAGAGAGTATGCAATGTGTTAGTTATTGAAACTGTCCTACCAATTTGATTTGAGGGCCAGGGAGATGACTCAGTGGAATAAGCGCTTCCCTGGCAAGTGCAAGGGCCTGAGTTCAATCCCTGGTTCTGCCAAAAGACAAAAAAAAAATGAGGCTTCAATTTGATTTGAAACTGTCTCATTGCTATTTGTTTCTCAATAAAATTATGGGAAAAAAATATTTTTAAAAAAATTGAGATTTTGACCCCATCTCCTCTCCATCCTTGTGGGCTTTGCAGCCTGTTAGTTCCATCTAGGTCCAATTAAAGAAAAAAACAAAACCTCCCCCTCCTGGCATGGGGCTGGAGGATCAGTTGATCAGAAAGAAGCCCAGTTTGTTACCACCCTAAACTACTATTCCAATTCTAAGGTCACCCTGCAACCCAGGGCAGTTGCCAGCTCTCTGTCTGCTCTCCTTTCTAGAGCATGTACTTGCAGCTGCTACCTCCAAGCTTGCCTACTTAGAACTCTCCCAAGCAGACTTTTTAACTTCAAACCTAAAACAGATGGGATTGAGTCACATTCTGAGTCCAATTCACTGAGTTTTCTCATCTGCCAACTCTCCTTATTTCTGTGTGGAGTGTATTTCCCCTTTAATAAATCTTTGCCTTCTGGACTAAAAAAAAAGAAGAATACTTTTGAAATTGTTGCACTTTTTCCATGGAAAGAAAATTAATGATAAAATTAACACTATTTTGAGAACTTTCTACCTCAGATAAATGATTGGAAGGTAGAAAGTCCTAGTCAATAACAAAATATTTTAAAGAAATTAAAAATGTAGAACTGGTGAGATGGCTCAGTGGTCTAAAGCACCTACTTAGAACAAGCTAAGCTAAGCAAAGCACAGGGACCGCGGTTCAATCCCCCAGCACCACATTCCAGTCAGCCCCGCCCCCTGGTGGGCTGAGCTGGCCACACACACACACACACACACACACACACAATAAATAAATAGAAATTAAAAATGTAGGAACAATTTCCATATTGTAATTTTTACCTGGACAGGATAATTCAGAGATAGAAGACTTCCTTTCTAATAACTCATTAGTAAAAGACATTATTTTGGCAGATTTCAGTTGTTACTGAATTAATAAAGTACGTGCATCCCAGGGATTCTTCCTGCTTAAAGCACTACCGAATCATTAAGAGGTTAAGACCTTTTGTTGCCAAAATCCTTTTGGTTCTGTCTAGGTTTTTTGTTCTGGTGCACAATTCCATCACATGAAAAGATAATTATTTTGTATTACAGTATAGTTTTGATAAACATGAACAAAGATTTCTGTTATCATAGAAAAATTTAGTATTTTTAGCTATCATGTGGTACTGAAAATGAAATTCAGGTTTAGGAACTGAAATTCTGCACTTGCCAATTTGGATCAAGCAGCAGTGCTTAGGGATACCCTTTTCAAAATCTGTGGTACTCCTCAGGTGACTGCTAATAGTCACTTTGTCTATATATTTCATGAAAGATAATTTGGGTAAAACAAGGGTATGTTGAAAGATTTGCCCTCTGCTCATCGATTACCAGGATGATAAATGACATCTGCGTGGTGGTAAGCCACTTAGAATTCATTTTGTCTCTCAAAATATACAGAAAATCTTTTCATGTTTAAGCACTGGAGAAAAAGAAGATATACTCTGTAGCCTCTAAGAGTAGGTGTGTCACATTTAATAACAGTACCCACTGGCATCTTTTGAACTCTTATGCCCTGAAGTGACAGACCCTATGTAAACAAAATCTAGTGGGCACCAAAATATGGCTTAAAAAGAAAAATCACTTTAGTACTTGTATGGTAATTGATAAAATGCTATGACATCACAGAGGCCTTTATTAGTCCTTAGCTCTGCCTAGGAGAGCGCTTTCCTGAATAACTATATCTTATTGAATAAATTGCTTTATAACATCCCAGGAGAAAAGAAGAGTTGAGCAATCGAATTGATTCACATGTATTTTCCTTATTTTTTTGTTCATTGGGTAAGCAGGAGTTTTAACATTCTAAGGTTATACCTAGACAACTTCACACGGTCAGCTCATGCCAAGTCAGCTTAGCCTGAGGTCCTCCCTAATCTGGCCCTTCCGTGTCCCTCATGACAAACAAAGCATGCATCATTTTACTTTTGCCTGTGCATTCTACAGTGAATCCCTGGATACCACAAGTGTGTTGATGCTTGGATTTTACTTCATCTCTTTCCAGCCATGACCGCCATTGAGGGCACGGCACATGGGGAACCCTGCCACTTCCCTTTTCTTTTCCTGGACAAGGAATATGATGAATGTACATCCGATGGGCGGGAAGACGGCAGGCTGTGGTGTGCTACGACCTACGACTACAAAACTGATGAGAAGTGGGGCTTTTGTGAAAGTAAGCGTTCAGTAGAAGTAGGTCCATGTGGCTGTGACAAAGGCGTTCTTCCAAAGGCCTTTCTCCGGCCGTCCTTTTCCACCATGGTTAGTCATGGCCAAGTTGAAGGTGTGGTTATAGCCATAAATACACTTGGGAGCACTGGGGAGAGAGCTCAGAGGCATAAGCAGCTATAGGGACCTGAGTTCAGTTCCCAGGTCCCCATGCCATGCTGACCCCAGGACCCCAGGTGTGCTGTCTCACGGCCACATCCCCAGGCATGCCATGCCAGCCCTGGAACCAAGCAGTGGCACATACCTGTAATGCCAGCACTTGAGAGGTTGAAGGAGGATCACTATGAGTTCAAGACCAGCCTGGAGGCTACAAAAGAGAGCACAAGGCCAGCCCGAGCTGCATACCGAGACTCTACACTTGGGTGCCAGAAAGATGTGTAGTTACTTTCAGGCTGCCAAGACAGCTTAGCACACTCATGTCTTATTTTAAAAAGTTTTAAACATGTGATTCATAAATCCTTTAGGCAAGCTGCTAGATCAATTGACATAAAACATTTTTTATCAGTAAAGGAAACAGGGCCGGCCAGATAGCTCAGTAGATTAAAGCACCTGCTTAGCCAGGCACAGGGACCAGGGTTAAATCAGTGTGCCGTGCAGGCCCTGCACCCAGGGCATGCTGAGATGACAATTGAGACTGAGTGGTGGCATGCGCCTGTAATCCCAGCACTGGGAGGCTAAAACAGGAGAATCACTATGAGTCCAGTCTTTGTAGTGCGACCCTGTAGACCCTGAACTAAATACATTTCAGAAATAAAAAATATTTTAAAAAATAATAATAAAGGAAACAGACCCTTATGGTAAAAGCAGTGGTAATTAAAAATACCTTTATAAAATACTTTCAGTGAAGTGTGCTGTCCTGATGTAACACTTGACAAATATAGCATATTTAAGTAAGCTAAGTATAAATGTTAATATAAATACAGAGGCTGAGTTCTACAGGCCAGCTGTGTTTCCAGGGCAACTTTGAATGTAAGTAGGCTGGTATGACAGAGAAGTATAGATTTTTTTGTACTACAAGAGGATTTCTATTTCTACAAATACTGGTCTTAATGAGATGCATGAATTTTGGTGAGTTCTGTATTTCTATTTAAAATGCCTTATTAGGATAGCAAATAATTTTGAAAAAATCCATGGTAAATCTTTTGAGTTTCAGGGTTGAATTACTAAGTATGAAAAATTGATATGAAGAAATTATGGATTTAAATGCTAAGTTTGAATCTGTATTTAGTAAAACTTTTTGAGACAAGTTCTCTGTAATCCAGGCTGGCTTTGAACTCACTGTGTAACCTAGGCTGGCCTCCCACTCCCAGTGCCCCTCCTGCCTCAGCTTGCCAAGTGCTGGGGTTTGGGGTGGGCTATCACTCTGCCTTTAATTTTTATTATATAACTGCTTTCTCCTTATAAAATACATATTTAGATAGAGGTAAGGTGTTCTTTGATTATAACAGTATTTTTCTGATCACTGTTTTCTAATGTATTTCTTCTCTTATTTTAAACTTGATGTATAAGCTCACATTTTAGTTGAATTATATAAAAATGTTAGCACAAGAAGTGTCCCCCCAAAAGCAATTAGTAGTGTTTCTTGTAGAAGAAAGTAATTTCAGTAGAAAAGACCACACCACTTTAGAGTCCTATTTGAAAATAGCAGTATATCATTCATTGTGTCTGTGTGACTACCTAAAAGGAAAAATAAGTTCTGCTGTTTGATAAGAAAGAGTATAGAACTACAATCTACATAAATGCATGTGACGTATTTTTAGCTGAAGAAGCAGCTGCTAAGAGACGGCAAATGCAGGAAGCAGAAATGCTGTATCAGACTGGAATGAAAATCCTCAATGGAAGCAACAAGAAAAGCCAAAAGAGAGAGTAGGTACCAAAGCCAACTCCATCCTTCGTTGCCATAAACTTTTTAAAAAACTGCTGAGAAACCCAGATTTCTTAATCTATTACAAGAAAACATAATGTGATTTGTGTGCATTAGTGGCATTAGTTTTAGCATATTTTAACTTGTTAGCATAAAAACATAGATACTGATCAAGATGATGAACAGTGAGAAAAGTAACTGAAATTCTTATAGTTATTAAGAACGAAGAATGCATATCTGTTCAGGATTTAACAAAAGGAACTATCCTTAAGTGTGATTGTTGGGTTTTGTTTTTGTTTTTTTTTTTTTTTTTTTTTTTTGATTGTTGGTTTTGCTTTTAAATTTTCAACTAGAGTTTCAGAATTTTTACATGGAAAGAATGTAAAACAAGTGACTGTATTCTAACATTTTGTGTCTTTATTTCAGCTAATTTTTGTTATATTCTGTGAAAAAAATTAACAAAAAATTAGAACAATTATTGGATTATTTACTAGACTTCATCATATTACAGTTATCTTATTTCAGGGTTTTTTAGATGTTCTTAAAATTACTGTTAATGGGGCCAGCCAAATAGCTCAGCAGATTAAAGTGCCTCCCAGCAGGCGCAGGGGCCAGGGGTTCCATCCCCCGGGCCTGCCATGCTAATCCTGCCCCCAGGACACATTGAGACAGCAATTGAGACTGGGCATGGTGGCATTGGGCCTATAAGCCCAGCTTTTGGGAGGCTGTAAACAGGCAGATCACTAGGAGTCTGATCTAGTAGCGAGACCCTGAACACCCTGTAGACCCTTCCCTAAAAATACAAAAAAAAAAAAAATGATAATAATAGAATTACTGTTAGTGTAATTAGACTATGCCAGGGAACAGGAATAACAGGGAGAACTGGCACCTTAGATTTCTACATATGTATGATGAATTGTATGTATAGTAAAAATAATATCAGGAAATTTCTTATTTAAAAAAGGAAATTATTTATACAGCATTTTGGTAGATCTTGAGAAAACTTTCAACAGCAGTTCCAAAACATTGCTAATTTGTGTTTCATTGCTTGCATTTAAAGAGCATATCGGTATCTTCAAAAGGCAGCAAGCATGAATCACACCAAGGCTCTGGAGAGAGTGTCCTATGCCCTTCTGTTTGGGGATTACCTGCCGCAGAACATCCAGGCCGCTAAAGAGATGTTTGAGAAGCTGACCGAGGAAGGCTCTCCCAAAGGGCAGGCGGTAGGTGCACTTACAGGGCCAAACCTGTCAGAGTACAGCGTTGTTGACTTCCGCGGCAGCTTATTCCTTATGCCCTGATGTCTTATAATAATTAAGACTGGAAAATAACATATTTTTAAATATTATTTTGGCAAACTGTTTTGTCTTTCTCCTTTGATATTCTTTCTCCTTAGTCTGAGGTATTTTTTCAATTATATCTTGTTACAATTAGATTAGTAGTTTTTCTAAATTATATCTATAAAGAATGAAATACACAAGTAATTCTCTTTTACCTGGAATTACCATTGCATTTTTTTACAGTTCATATGCTGTAACTGTTGTTAATATTAATGTCTTTTAAAAGTCTGTTACGGGGGCTGGTGAGATGGCTCAGTGGTCTAAAGCACCTACTTAGAACAAGTTTAGCTAAAGCACAGGGACCGCGGTTCAATCCCCCAGCACCACATGCCAGCCAGCCCCGCCCCCTGGTGGGCTGAGC